AACCCGCCACCTTAGGTGTACATGGCTGGCGCCTTAGCCGGTTGAGCTATAGGTGCCGAGCCCCTACCTCTGATTTTTAAGAGATACCTGAATGGGGTTCTCCAGTTTTATAAAACGAGGCCCTATTTTTCTGCAGCCTGCTAAGTGACCAGAATGAGATTCTACCATGTACACACAGTACTGTCTCTTAGATCAAATAACAATCATTGCTGACATTTACTCAACATTTACTCTTTACCAAGGTATTTCATTCACATGTGTTACTGAACTTAATCTTTGTAATTACCTCTTGAGGTGGGCTCTATGAATGTCTCACTCTATCTTGAAGTCATTGAGGCTATGTTGCTTGTCCAGGAATGTCCAACCAGTCCATCTCATTCCAGAGCCCCCACCCTCAACCATGAGACTTTACTTCCTCCCCCAGAGAGATTCAGGGCTGTAAGGGATCTCCTAGCCTTTCAAGTCTGACCACATGACTTCTTAGATGAGGAAATCCAGCCCCAGAGAGGGAAAGGTATTAACCCGAGACTGTATAGCTACCAATGGCAGCTATCAAGCCAAGTCTTCTGGCTTCCAGGCTCATAATCTTTCTAATAGTCCACTTTGCCCAGCTTACTGGTTATGGCTCTGACTGTCATTTTAACTCTTGTGAGTCCCAAGTCTTCATCAGCAAAATGCGGGTAATTTTTTCTTTTTTTTTTTTAGAGACAGAGTCTCACTTTATTGCCCTCGGTAGAGTGCTGTGGTGTCACAGCTCACAGCAACCTCCAACTCCTGGGTTTAGGCGATTCTCTTGCCTCAGCCTCCTGAGTAGCTGGGACTACAGGCGCTTGCCACAATGCCCAGCTATTTTTTTGTTGCAGTTTGACCGGGGCCGGGTTTGAACCCGCCACCCTCAATATATAGGGCCGGCACCCTACCCACTGAGCCACAGGTCCCACCCAATTTTATCTTTTTCATATCTATTTCACAGGGCTCTTGGAGAAGGTCAAATGAGTAAGAAATACTAAATGTGAGAAATACTTTCTGTTTTTTTTTTTTGAAACAGACTCTCACTCTGTTAGCCCAGGTGGAGTGCCATGGCCTCTGCCTAACTCACAGCAACCTCAGACTCTTCAGTTCAAGGGACCCTTCTGCCTCAGCCTACCAAGTAGCTGGGACTACAGGTGCTGGCCATGACACCTGGCTTGTTTTTCTATTTTTTTTTTTT